TAATCATCATGTACATTTCACGAGAAATAATGCGTGAATTTATTATAATAATTTTATAAAGTATAGTTAACAATTTGTATATTATTTTAACATATATTATTTTGCATTTAAACGGACAAAATTCCGAGCAAAATAAATATGATCTCAATTTTGTTATTCATAATGAATGCAATTTTTTATATTGAATGCAAACAAACCATTTGTGATTTGATGTATACAAATGGCACATATCATGGCATTCAAATGTTCCGCAATTGGCCATATTATAATAGTACGAAAGTCTATCCCAAGTATAGAATGTACACAAAGGGAATAAATTGGGAGTTCACTATAGAGAGGGACCAAAACAATGAACTATCGGTAGTAATAAACAGCTCAAGTGTCGGGGAATTGTATACAATAAATAAAGCAAATGGCAAACAACCGCTAAATATATTTTCCTCGTCTATACTTTTAAATGGAGAGCTAAGAAGTGTTTACTGCGAAATTCATTATAAGGTAGTTATGGTATATCACGTATTTTAAATTATGGGTATTTTAAATCATACACAAATTATTAACCATTATTATAATTGTATAGTCGCCCGAAACTATGAGTACAACTATTGAAACCAAATGTGAATCCAATTCTTATAAGGATGAGACCAAAACTAATCAACAGTTTAACCCAAAGTCAATCATATTTAGACCGACGGCTATGCAAAACATAATTGTTTCGAAAGCATATATGACAGTATTGGACGCAAACAATACTTTGATAAACAACTATTTTTATTATGATACAACTGCTTATTCTAATGAGACAGATTATTTTCATATTAAACTAATGAATGCGGCCGACTGTGACAACAACCTATGCAAACGACCGGCATTTGTGGATCAATTAAACAATAATTTGATAAAACAATTGGAGGGAATCGTTGAATATTGTATTAATTACAATATGAGGGGACATATGCTATGGTTCAACATCTCTGGTCAGCCCCGCTATTGCTTCACACCTGAGGGCAGAAATCTTTCCGAACAGGTATTCATCACATAATAAATTAGTTAAACATTTTATTTTTAAAAAAACAATTAATTGTTTATATGCTTAAAGTGTTTCCAAAAGGACAATATGATTGCATACAACTGTACATTAAAGACACCCACAGTTTCTATCAAAGGACTGCTTATTGTATACATAATTTTATTAATAATTGGAGTAATTCTTGTGGTAATCACTGGATATTTGATTTTAAAAAGATGTCAACAAATGAGTCCTAGATATCCAACAGTCCAGACATACAGTACTCAAGAAAAGACAATACAAACGATAAGTTATTCCGTATTAACGGTTGACTCGAAAGATATGTCAACTAAGAAATTGTCATAAATTAGTCAATAAATTGAATACAAGAAATCACAAAATTTATATTACGGTTACAAATATTAAAGTTTTAAAATTGTTTGCACATTTATTTTTTATACTAAATACACTAAAAATTAATTTAATGCATGTTTTCACTATACAGTGTAATGCAGTAATTATATTGTTTTAAAGACGTTACAGATTTCAATTCAATTATTGAAAAACACATTTAATTCACGGGTCATGTAAGTTTAAATATTTCGTCAAAATATTTGATCGAATTAAATATTACACTAGTTAACAATAAGTTTAACGTTTTATATAAATCATATAAAACTTCATTCAAACCACAAAAAAACAGTTATAAAAATAAAGATGATCTCAATTTTGGTATTCATAATGACTGTAATGGCTTGTATTGAATGCAATCAAACCATTTGTGATTTAATGTATACGAATGGCACATATCATGGTATTCAAATGTTCGTTAATTGGCCATATTTACGCTCAAACCTTGTTATCCCTAAATATAATATGTATGCAAAGGGAATGAGTTGGGAGTTCACTATAGAGAGGGACCAAAACAATTCATTATCGGTAGTAATGCACAACTCAAGTGTCGGGGAATTGTATACAATGTATGGCAAACAACCGCTAAACATCATTTCCACATCTTTATCAACATTAGTTAGTGGTTTAAAAAGCATTTACTGCGAAATACATTATAAGGTAATTATAATATATTTTAAATAAAGCATTAATTATTGATTATGTGTTAACAGTTCCCACAAACCAATGATACAACTATTGAGACCAAATGCGAGTCCAATGAAGATAAAAATGAATGCCAAAGTGACGGTCAGTTTGACCCAAAGTCTATTATATTCAGTCCAATTACGTCCGATTTGGTTCCGTTCACTAAATATATGACAGTATTGGACACAAACAAACCTTCGCTCAAAATGTATTTTACTATATATAATTACTTTGGAAGTAATATTTTGCTACAGAATGAGAACAAATGTCCCGACGATCGCTGGTGTAAACGACCGGTATTTGTGGATCAATTAACGGGAGATTTATTGAAACAATTGGAGGGAATTGTTCAGTACAATGAACGTCATTTGAGGGGACATATGCTATGGTTCAACATCTCTGGTCAGCCCCGCTATTGCTTCACACCCGACGGCAAAGATCTCTCCGAACAGGTATTCATCACAAATTTATCAATATTTTGTGAAAATAATATTTTGTCTAAATGTTTAAAGTGCTTTCAAAAGGAGAATATGACTGCATATGACTGTTCATTAGAAACAACTGATGTCATTCCCACTGAAAGCTCTATCGAAAGTTTGTTGATATCATTCATTATTTTGTTGATAATTGGAGTGATTCTTGTGGTAATCAATGGGTATTTGATTCGTAAAAGACATCAACAAATGAGTGTATTTCCATCCGAGTCTTCAAATCCAACCGTATTTAGCAATAAATACAAAGGTTTGAAAAGATCACCAAAAACTAAGACTTCCGTTACGTCTAGTGTTTAACAAAAGACAATTAAAACCAAAAATTTGAAGTCTAAAAAATTGAGTCTTAAAAAATAATTATTTAAAATGTGAATAAAATGTTGCATAAAATCTTAAAATATTCAATAAAACTGTATTAGATTTCGCATACATTATACATACATGTATAGCAAAACTGTATAAAACTGTAGCAAAACAATATGTATCACTTTTAACAATAAAATCATTGTTTTATAGCAAGTGTTGTTAAAACCTCGCGACTGCTTAACAACCGTTATATTTATTATTGATTTTTTAAGTCAATTAACACTAAACTGATTACAACTGATCCGACAGACTATGACTCCCATTAGGAGAGCGACCACTTATCTCAAGACATACATAACACCCGCTCATCGCAAATACGCGCCGCCGAAGTACATGACATTACGGATGTGTCCGCCCGTCCAGAGCCTAACGGAACCGTTTAGAGACTTCGCCATCGATAAGCTCCAGAAGTCGGCGCCACTGACGACAGGCCACCGGCCACTGGCAGTGGTGTTGTCGTGGATGTTGGCTAAAGAGCGGCAAATGAATCCCTACCGTAAGCTATGGTTCGGTCGGGGCTTTGATGTGCTGACTGTGCGGATGCGACCGACGGATGTACTCGTGCCGCGAACCGGGTCTCAAGTGTTGGCCTCTAATTTGGTCCGTTATTTGTCGGCATTGAGTCCCAAATACGACGAGATAGTGATTCACGCGTTTTCGGTCGGCGGCTATCAGTACGGAGAGGTGTTGAGACACTTGACGGCCGAACCCGAGCGGCATCGGGTGTTCACCGATACGTTGAAGGGAGTGGTGTTTGACTCAATCGTTCGGATAGAGAAGGCGGCTCCGGGTCTGGCCTTTGCCATTACCAACAATCGGTTAGTCAAACCCCTATTGGAGGCCTCCATTAAGAGTTATCTGGCGCTCACACCCGGCATATCAATTGCCAACTATCGCAAGTCGTTTGACTTGATAGAGGATAACCCCTTGAAATTACCTAGTATGTTATCACCTTGTTTACATTTTTACCATAATTATTAACCCTTTTCTCTTTCATTTTAGCTTTAATGCTGTATTCAAGTGACGATCGTTTGACAAGTTTAAAGGCAATGGAGTCGATGGCCAACCGGTGGCGAGAGTCGGGCGTATCGGTGGACACAAAGTGTTGGGAATGTTCGACACATGTCCTCCACTATCGCAACCATCAGTGCGAATATGAAGACCATTTGGACGCATATCTCAAGAAATTGGGTCTCAAATCGGTTTTCGTTTGATGTCTGGCTTTCAATTTGTTTTACAATTTGTTTGTTTTTTTATTATTACATAAAAGTATTGAAATTTTTATTAATTGTAATTAATATAATATCTAAATAAACACTTTATTGATAATTGTGTGATAACAGTATTTTAAAACCAATATGTATTGATGCTATTTATGAATTATAGTGTCAGATGATTTGTGATGTTATCTGCATTTAATATTGTAAATTGTGAGTGCAATCCAATTCTTATCAATGAACTTTATTTACCATATAGTAAATATTTAAAGTTATTTTTGTTTTATATTTACAATATTTATAAATAACACATTTAAACAAGTTTTAAAAAGTTTTTATAAATTTAAAAATACTAAAACATTTTAAAAATTATTTGAGCATTTAAAAATATGTATTTATTAACATCTAGATAATAATGTTTTACAAAATTGCTTATCTATTCAATATTAATTGTTTATTTATATGAAAAACAATAAAGATAGTTTATAATTATCTAATCAACAGGTGTGAAGGCATTGCCATAAGATCTCACGCCATTTACTTTACTTTATTAAACAAACTGCATAACAGTGAACACAACAAGTTTAAATAAGTTTANCAATATTAATTGTTTATTTATATGAAAAACAATAAAGATAGTTTATAATTATCTAATCAACAGGTGTGAAGGCATTGCCATAAGATCTCACGCCATTTACTTTACTTTATTAAACAAACTGCATAACAGTGAACACAACAAGTTTAAATAAGTTTATATGAATTAAAACATTATATTTAATAGTCATAACTATGTCTTAATTAATACCATACTATATTTTTAATATAATAAAATAGTAAAAAGTAAATAATAATAAAAATAACAAATTGATTGTCAATAATGTTGGAGAAAGTGTTGGATAAGACTGTGTTGTGGAAAGAGTGGACACTATTAGCGTTTTGTGTGATAGGAATTGTCTCAACGATCGTTATATCGGGTGTTTCGTTGGCCATCATTGACAGCATTGACAACGATATCAGCAATCATACTGAGGCTGCCGTTACCAGCGCTACAGTAGCCAAGGTATAAGGTTTTAACCATTTTTACAATATACAATATCTAAATTAGTCCCTATCTTATCTAATTCTAAATATACTTTTACATATTTTTAATTCACTATCAAAATTTATACTAATTTATACTTTTAAACTTGATGAGTTTTGTTTAAATGTAAAACTTACATATTTGTAAATTTATGTTTCTATAAACTAACCCAGAATTCTGCGAAGACAATGATAATTGTGTCGACAATCATCACAATATTAGTGGACGTAATGGCGTTTGTGGGCGGCTATAAGTCTGGTTACTTTATGACACTGACCTACATCATGCTTATGGTATTAATTGGTTTGGGCAGCGTTTTGATAGCCATTCGTACCGAGTGCTGGTATCCAACAGTATTTCACTTTTTAATACTGGGATTGGCATACGATATGAGACTCATCAAAAACAAGGCATTCAGTCACCGGAATAAGCTACTGGAAAAGGAGCTAGAGTATCAGAGACATAAATACCACCATGCATCACCTTTAGTTGTGGTGACATGTGGTAATAACCAACCTTATGTTACTAGTATGGGTGCCTCCGAGCCCTCTGATGCCAATTCACGCCATATCATTAATATGGATGCTTTGAGTGGTACTGATAAACAATATTATCAGTTGCCTGTCTGGCCGGCCAGCCCTGCCATACCCGCCGTATCCAATGAACCGCTGCCCCCATATCCCTATCTAAATGGTGCCACCAATAAAATGCATGAAAAATTACCTTAAATAAATGAATATATTTCAATAATGTTTTTAATTAAAATAATTAAATCAAAGAATTTTTATTTTTGAACATGGTTAAATGTTTTGATAATATTTACTGCTAACACGAATCTAACTCGTAAGAGATGATAACGTTAGATTATTTTACTTGCAAATTTAAATACAATGCAATACATATTTCAATAATAATTAATGTAATACAATTAATACATTTAATTAATGTAACGGAATTAATTAATGATTATTAAATCATTATCAGGGATTGCCAAAAGTAGGCTTTCTTTATATACACTTATAAATTATAAATTAGAAAATAATTTGTAATTAACTATAAATCACATAAAATGCTAAAAAATCTATGACAATGTTTACAATACATAAGATTATTCATGTATAGATTGTAGATATGTAATTTTAGTAAATAATTAAGCACTGAATTATTTTAAACTAAACAAGTTTATTAATAAAATGCTTACACTGTAGTGACTGCATCATAATAACTCAGATTATTAACAATTGAATTGATAATACTATAATTGATTTATCAAATAACAGACACATTATTATGTCGAAAACATCTAGCAAACATTATAGGGGCAGTTTATTGTGTACCACATTAAACAGTACACGTGTGGTATACAATAAACTGACAAAACAACTAGTTAAATCAACTCAAATTAATACAGCAAATTAAATGTTGGCGAGAAGTAAACATGTTAGAAAAATATTTTTATAGAATTTTATCCTACAAACAGTTTATAAAGATCATACTTTGTTTGGGAGAAATTTTAATAACCATCTTCATTGCCTGTGCAGCATGCAAGATAGCCGATAACATTGATGACAATCATGGTAATCTGGCAACAAATCAAATTAATAAAACTAGTTCAATTGTGAGTGCTTTTTAAAATTTGTACATTTGATTACAAGGTAAGATGTCGTATTTAATTAAATTTACTAATATAATTAGGATGAAACAAAAACCACGATAATAGTTACTGCGGGGTCAACAATCGTGATCGATATCATTATCCTATTCATTGGATTAATACCAAACTATGTGCTATTATTAGCTTATATAACAACAATATTGCTCATAGAAATGGCCAGTTATCTAATGGGCTATAATATGGAGCACTGGTACTCAATTGGATTAAGGATATTGATTATGCTGTTGGCGTTTAAACTGCGCTTGGTTAGAAACAGAGTAGTTTATGGAAAGGACCAAACAAAGACTGGTATAAATCACACGCCTGTTGTGTTAAATATAGTAAACTGTGATTATGCTGATGAACAAACAATTTATCCTGATCAGAATTATAACCACTTTTTCATTAATTGTGTCAATCATAATTACAGTGATCAATATCAAATAAAGCTAACATATAATAAATAAAATCACCGTATTTTAAGAAATTATATAAAGATATTAAGTTAGTAATAACTTATTTTATTTATATTCACCATTTTATTTCATTTATAAAAGTTTACATGAAATAGAGAGAGA